TCAGTGGGGCTGTGGGTGTGAGGAGGGGGAAGTGGGGCTGGTGGAGGGGGTCAGGTTCTGTGGGGCTGGGGTGAGGGAGGGAGGCCTGTTGAGGGTCTCAGAGGGGCTGGGCGAGTGAGGGGCTGATGGGGATTGGTCTGATTGGGGCTGGTGGAGGAAGGCGGGGCTTGTCATTGGGGTGGGAAGGTTTGGTGTCTGGGGCTGGGAAGGCAGGACCTGTTAGGGGTAGAGGCCTTGGTATTACTGGGGCTGGAGGAAGGGTGGAGAGCAGGGCCTATTGGGGTGGGAAGGGTGAAGTGGAGGCGATTTGGTTGGAAGGTGAAAGGGGGTGTTCGCAGGATCATGAGAGCTATAATTTACAGCCATTGAAAGTGCTGTTGCTATTGCCCCACCTTCCTTGCTGCTCTAGCCTCACCCCAAAGACAGTAGTGCTGATCTGGTTGCTCAGTCCCACTACTTTTGTGTTCATTTCCTTTAATGACACAGGGTGATCATCCCTTAAGTAGGAATGTAAATAACCGTTTAAATAGTTACATTATTAAAATGTTGGCTAGGACCTGCCGGCCCCCCTTAGGTGCAGCCTTGCCTGATGCCCCCATGTGGCTGGCTGGACTCAGACAGGGTTGCTCCACTGTTGGGAGGTTGGCTGTCCAACCAGTTACTCTATGAGCATTAAGCTTTCTGGAATGCTTACAGATTAACTCTTCAATCTTGTACATCCTGACTCTCAAAGGATGGGGAGTGATCACATGGAAAGGGCTATGCTCTGTTGAGAGGTTTTTAGGGTGAGACGTGGGTTTCCTTCATTTTCCTCTCAGCAAGAAATTACCTACCAGTACGTAGTGCTAAAGGCCAGATGTTCAAATACGCTCATTTAGGGACCAAAGTAAATGCTGCATTCTCCACTGCCTTGTGCTCTGTTTAATGTCTTATGCATATTCAGAGTGCGTGTAAAATTGTGCTGTTTTGTTTTTAGTAGAGTTTTTACAACTGTTTTGCACTGGGATAAATGATTACAAAGGTACAAAGCAGTGAAGAATAAAGAAAATTGATTTACAGTTCTATCACATAGGGTTGCTTTGAAAGCTGTAAACATTGAAACTGCATTGAAATATAATGACTTGGAGGGGTTTCTGGATGGATGAAATGTGGGTAAAAATGGTAAGTCAAAATCATGATTGATGGCTTGAAAAGCATGGCTAGCATGTGTGCAATAGAGGGCCTGGAGCCTGATATTTCTTATGTTAAAATCAACTGGAATCCTGCCTTTAAGTTCTCTAGGAGAAGGATGAGACTCCATGAAGAGCCTGAAAAGTATTTTCACATTTCAATGAAGGCTTCTTAAAGGTTACTTTGAAATTAGCAGAAGCTGGAGATGAAATATTCCTTGGTTAATTGTTGTTGAGTGGGTGAAGGGAGAAAAGGACATACTAAAGTTTTTATAGGAATGGTCCAAAGAACAATAAAACTTTCAATTGGATATTAGGAAGAGTCAAAGGGGACAAGATTTCCAACAACAGGTGTCTAAGGGTACGTCTAAACTACATGCCTCCGTCGACGGAGGCATGTAGATTAGCCAGATCGGCAGAGGGAAATGAAGCCGTGATTAAAATAATCGCGGCTTCATTTAAATTTAAATGGCTGCCCCGCTCTGCCAATCAGCTGTTTGTCGGCAGATCGGGGCAGTCTGGACGCGCCGCGCCGACAAAGAAGCCTTTCTTGATCGGCACAGGTATGCCTCGTGAAACCAGGTTTACCTGTGCCGATCAAGAAAGGCTTCTTTGTCGGCGCGGCGCGTCCAGACTGCCCCGATCTGCCGACAAACAGATGATCGGCAGAGCGGGGCAGCCATTTAAATTTAAATGAAGCCGCGATTATTTTAATCTCGGCTTCATTTCCCTCTGCCGATCTGGCTAATCTACATGCCTCTGTCGACGGAGGCATGTAGTCTAGACACACCCTAAAACATTGGGCTGGATTTTCACAAATGCTGAGTACCAATGTTCTATCTAACTTTTCCCACCTGAGTGTGGAATAAATTTTATGTGCAGATGTGCCCCACCAGTAGAAATGTTTGCTGTGGGTGCTCTGCTAATAAGCTAGACAGCATTTGAATCTATCCTGGGTGGCTGCCCAAGTGCTCAGCTTATAGGGTATACTGCTGAGTATCCACTATTCCAGCTAAGGTCTAAAGTGAAAATCATCTGATCCAACTCCCACTAAAATCAAAAAGTATGGCCATTCAACTTGTATGATATTTCTGTTGATTTTTATATGATATTTATTAGACTAATAATCTGTGTGTGTGTGTGAGCTGAGTGTTAAAGTTGCATCACCATCTGTGTGATTTCTGTAGTTAATATTTTTAACTTCTTGATGTGTAACGAGATCTATTCTTGAAGGCCAGGTCTACACTGGTGGAGAAAAATCGAGGCAAGATGTGCAACTCCAGTTACATGAATTATATAGCTGGTGGTGACGTACATTGCATCAATTTTCTGGGGTAGGCCCAGAGTGGGAGGTCGACAGGAGAAACTCTATCAATTTCTGTTACTTTGACACCCTCAGCATTTGATTTAGTGGGCCCTTTCCAGACCCACTAAATCAAACACTGGAAGATTGACCTCCAGTGCTTCAATCTTCCCAGAAGTTAGATGTGCCCTAAATATACAGCTGCTCCCCAAGTTTTGAACAGTCGAGTTATGACTCTTCATACTTACGACCAAAGCTTCCATGGAGCGGTCGTAAAGGCAGTCCCCGAGTTACGAACGCGACCCGCGCTTATGAACAGCGCGGTCACGTGTAACTCAATGGGGTCCGAGTTATGAATGGATCGAATTATGGCCAAGTGTTTGGTCTGTAACTCGGGGAGAGGCTGTTCTTAACTTTTACTGTAATTAACCAGTTTTTTTTAGTTTTCTGATTGTTGATGAATTGCATGTGTAATTTAGGAATTATTTCTCATTGTCTCAGTGGAGTTTTTTGATCCTCTCCCCTTTGATCTTTGTCTCCTTGGTTTATGATAGTCACTGGCTCAGCCAGTGATTTTTTTTTTCTTTTTTTCTTTTTCTGGGTGTCTTCTGGTTTTGGAAATGTTGCTGCTGTGTTGCGGTATTTGTTGCGTTGTTGCCAAAACTGTTACTAAGATAATTTGCAGTGGTGTTGTATTGGCATAGTACAGTATGGCACAACTTATTTATGGCTTATTTTTTGTTATAAAACTGCATAATATTTCTCTCTCTCTGTTCTGTGCAGGTGGCATTGCCGGAGGTATTGAAATCTGTATCACCTTTCCCACAGAATATGTAAAAACACAGTTGCAATTGGATGAAAGAGCAAATCCCCCTCGATATAAAAGCATTGGTAAGAGGATAACTCACATGTGTGCATCTAAAATTTCATACAAAGTTTCTACTAGGGATGTTAAATTTAAATTAACTAATCTAATAGTCAATGGGATTTCTATTGACTCTTTGATTAGTTGAGAAGGGCACCATGCCTTTGAGCACTCTGTGGCGCCTCAGCCTTTGAAATGTCCAAGAGCCCCAGAAGGGCTCTTGGACATTTCAAAGAAAGCACCTCAGGGAGTGCGGGGCCAGCTCAGGAATCTCCTGCTGGTCCCGTGCTCCCTGCAGGGCTTCTGCCAGCCAGGGCTCTTGCACATTTGAGAAGAATTATTGAAGCAGAACCTGCTTGAGTGGAGACTGCTTCAGTCTCTGCTTGTGCCATTTGCTGCTGTGCCTCTACATCCCGTGCCCCTTTTTGGCGATGGTGCTGAAGGGAACTGGCTTTTAAGCTAGCTCCCCCCAGCGCACGCTCTCTCTCACACGTTCACTTTGCTGCCCTTCTCTGATAGAGGCTGCAAGCGGGGGTGGGGGAGTGACTAATTGCCTCACTAGTTGACTGTCCGATAAGATTATACTTATTGGATAGTTCACTAGTTGCTTACATCCCTAGTTTCTAGTAGCCTAGCAGGCAAAGATCTGATTCATTCATAAAGTAAAAGTTGATTATTAAGACTTAGAAATTGTCTTGCAGGTCACTGTGTGAGGCTAACCATTCAGGATCATGGTGTCAAGGGTCTGTACAGGGGCCTAAGTTCTTTGTTGTATGGCTCTATTCCAAAATCTGCTGTCAGGTAAAGTGATCTTTAAATGAGTATTTGTAAATATGATAGTTTTATAGCATGCTTTTTCATCCATTGATTTCAAAGTGCTGAATGAGACTGTTTTTTGTTTTATCTTATTTGCAACTAGGACATTTAGCCAGCACTGCTTGGGCCCTTAAATAGGGGCTCAGGGATGCATATGTGGGGAGTGCAGGATTCAAGGAAGGGGACTGAGGAGGGGCTCTGGGCAGGGGACTGTGTGCATAGGAGGGGCTTGCTCTTCTCCTTCCCATCTCTGTCAGGGAGCGAGAGCAAAGTGCACAGCTTATCTGCCCCTTCTCATCCAGAATGAGGAATACAGCAAACTGCATTTTTCTCAAGCTCCCTGTTGAAGGGGAACAGCCAGCAATGTCCCTGTGCGAATTGGGTGGGTGAGATGGAGGGGAGCTTCACCCCCCCCCTACACCTTCCCTAAAGGGCAGTTGGGGGGAGGGGGAAGGGTGGGAGGCTTGGGGCTGGGGCATTCCCGG